AGTTACTGCTCCTTTTTCACATGAAATTGAAAAATCTATTTCAACTAGAATGAATGGTTTGAGCATACTATGTTTGCCTGTTGTCTGCCATTAATAGTATGACTGAATCTGTTTCTGAGAGGGTACACTCTCCAATATATCATTATTTTTGGTTAGAAAGCAGCACACAAATTAACAAAAATGTATAAGAAAAAGTAGATTGAAGTCATATCCTTTGTATTAAGGGAAATAAGGAAAAAGGATTGATTTCTAATTTATGGCATGAACAGGAATGTTCTCATTCTGTTATTTTTGTTTAAATGATATTATACATTTACTGCTAAGTTTTCCCAATGTTGAGCTATGTGACTTCTGTTAAAGTTAGCTGTTCAGCTAACCAGTGTTCCCTCTAAGCTGAGCGGCAGCATAGCTTCACAGGTGATTAATCAGCCCCTTCCAGTCAGTCAGCTTAATTCCATGTATATTGCCAACCAGATGTAAATTGTAACAAGTTGGGAGCCCAGAGACTTTGAGGAGGCAGGGCTGATAGATCATCTGTGAAGCTGTGCTGCTTCCCAACTTAGAGGGAACACTGAAAACCCAATGCAAATCTTTATTGAAGTAGTAGCTAAATTTGCTGCGTCTAGACTGGCAAGATTTTGCTTTTGCGCAAAAACTTGCCAGCTGTCTATACTGGCTGCTTGAATTTGCGCAAGAGCACTGACTTTGTAATGTACAAAATCAGTGCTTATTGTGCAAATACTTTCATGCTACTGCTCGGGAAAAAGCCCTCTTGTGCAAGAATACTTGTGCAAGAGAGTTAGTGTAGAGAGGGAAGAACTGTTTTGCACAAAAAAGCCCTGATGGCTAAAATGGCAATCGGGGCTTTCTTATGCAAAATTGCATCTAGACTGGCCACGGATGCTTTTGCGCAAAAGTAAATCTTTTGTGGAAAGGCACTTGCCTATCTAGACACGCTTTTGCGGAAATACTTTTCACGGAAAAACTTTTCCATTAAAAGTATTTCCGCAAAATCATGCCAGTCTAGACGCAGCCATTAGGTATGCACAGAAAACTTTCCATGACCTGTGGGCCAATCTGTTTTTAACTGACTTCAGACTGACTTCGTTTTTTTCAAGGAGATACATGTACATATATAAGGGCAGAATTTGGCTCTATTTTCCTTAAGAAACTGGATAGGATGGCAGTCTCCTAATTTTTTACTGAAGTTTGAATGAGTTTGACCTTTACTTTTAGGAATGAAACAGAATTAGGCTGTAAGGATACTTCTACACAGCAGGGCTAAAGCCAAAATAAGCTACACAACTTGAGCTATGTCAATTGCATAGCTTAAGTCAAAAAAGCTTATTTCAGCTTTTGGTGCTGTCTACACAGCAGGAAGTCTGTGAAAAAGCACTCTTCCTCTGACCTTGCTTACTCCTCATAAAATGAGGGTTATAGGAGTTGGAGTAAGAAGTCCTCCAGCTCAACATTATTTTGACATAATGTCAAAATAATTGCTTGTCTGCACCTATACTACTATGTTATTTTGGAATAACATCAGTTATTCCGAACTAACACTGCTATGTAGCTATACCATAATTTTCAATGTTGGACAATTCTGTATGCTTTCTTTTGCATATATATTTGTTTCAGAATATATAGAATTCATTTTTTTCCTTTCTATAATGGCCATGACAAAGTATCTGGGATATTGTACAAAATTTGTTTTGCAGTCTTAATTCAACTAACCTAATGACTGTAAAAGAACAGCAATGTACCCCCCAACATTTTTTTTGAATAGTACAGAGTAGAAGCTTAAAAATAATTTTTTAAATTAACTTTTCTCTATTAACCATTCCTACTCATCCTGGCTATTAGACCTAACCTCCATGAATCAATCTAGCTCTCTTTGAACCCTATTAAATTTCTAGCCTTCAACACATCCTCTGGCAAGGAGTTCCACAGAATGACTGTGCGCTGAGTGAAGAAAATCTTTCTTTTGTTTGTTTTAAACCTGCTGCCTATTAATTTCATTTGGTGACCCCTAGTTCTTTTATTGTGGGAATAAGTAAATAACTTTTCCTAATTCACTTTTTCCATACCAGTCATGATTTTATAGACATCTATCATATGTACTCCTTAGTCTCCTCTTTTCTAAACTGGAAAGTCCAAGTCTTTTTAATCTCTCTTCATATGAGAGATCATAACTCATTTTAAAAGCTATCAATAAAGTTTCATTTTTTGTGACTATCACCACAGAAAGAAGACTAATCTGTGCTTGCTGCATAATGCTCTTTTGAACTTGGTGTTTTAAAGAGGTTTTGTGGAAAACCCAAGAATCAGAAAGAGCACCTGTTACTTTGTATGCTATGTTGGGATCCTGGGGCTGCCTTTTTCTTGTCAAGTGAAATTGTATGAATTATTCATAGTTTATGCAGCATTTTGCATTCTTTCAGCTAAAAGGCATTATAGAAATGAAACTATTTATTTCCACGTCCTTGCTATGTAAAACCAGATCATGGAGGCCTTAACAACACTGGAAAAAATGTACTTGGAATGTCAGATCCCTGCTTCTTCCGCATTTGGGAAATCCAATCAAGTTTCCTAGAATTAGGGAAGAAGTCTGGACTACCTGATGCTATGCCTCCCTGACATCATGCTATGCCTCCCTGACGTCAGCATGGCACTTCCTAAGTGCATATCCTGTGTCCTACTTTGGGGAACAAATGAGTTGGCTTAGTGTATCTAGAGCTCCTCATTTGGTAAACTTGGTCACCACATTATCTTGCTCCTTTCTGCCTCACCAACCCAAGATGGATTTCCACATGTCTGACACACAGTCAGGATGGCTAATGTGGTGCTTTGTAACTTGGAAATGGTAAGCCTTCCATCAGTTGGTTCACCAGGGGGATGAAAATCCTTCACAGGATTTAAGACCTACCATTACATCTAAAAACTAGAAACTATTAAATGTAGCAAATCAGTCAAAAGGGCTAAAACATTAGAAGTCAAACTGTACTATATTTATAGTTTAAATTGGCCTAGGCAGACACACTAAAGTAGCATCTTCATTGATTGGTTTATAAATTCTAATATACTTTGTTCTTTGTTATTTAGAAATAAAGAGATTTATAAGTAGATCTGTTATTTACCAGCAGCACTTAGGGTTTTTTTATGTTACCAGTTTAATATGCACATCATGGCAAATAATCAATAAGCTACAATGCCATACAAGGTTACTCCAAGTACTAAGCCAACTCAGCACTAATTAGTGTTCAATATCAGATGTAGTCAGACTCCTATAGCCATAGGCGCAAGCTTATTGAGAGAATCTGACAACATTATAAATAATAAAGCAGAATTCAACTAATTTGTCATCAGAAATCACAAGATAGGATTGCCTTGTACAGTATTAGGTTTTAATTTGGTCTTTGTTATATATAGTCAGGAGTGGCCCTAGACAAGCTGCCGCCAACTGGCGCCCTAGGCAAAATACACAATCAGCACCCCCGCCTCCAAAGCCCTCAACGGCCATTTTTCTTGGCGCCCTAAGCAACCGCCTAGGATGCCTGTACTGACGGGCTGCTACTGTATATGGTTGCTCCAAACTCCTTCCCTTGCTTCTCCCCATCTCTTTTTTCTGCTCTTCTGTTACCTTGGAACAGTTTGGTTACTGCTTTCCCTGCCCTCACAATGTCCTTTCATTTTAAAAAGAATCAAGAATACTGGTTTGAGACAATAAGGTGGGAGTAAATCAGTTATAGTCTATTATTGAATTAGATTAGATTGTACAGTGACAGCCTTGACAGTTTAAATAGATAGATTAGTTACATTAAAAGATAGGTGGATGGATAGGTATATATGATCATCAATAACATTATGACATTTTACCATGACTGTACTATGAGAAAATATTAAAATCTTGTCTGTAGTGAGTCATGCTTACTTGTAATCTTATGATGAAACACACTATTTGGATCCTTTAAATGCAAAATATGGGCATAAAATTAAATATTGTAGATCATTTAACTTACTAACCAATTCCTACCCTGCATGATTGTGTTAATAAATCCTGTCACCATTATTTTCATATACAATTCTGTGTTCCTGAAGGTCAAAGATTACATTTGACTATGCACATGCACTAAGGACTTTTTTGGCAGCTGAAAGCCTCCCTGTCTAAAATTTATTAAGCGGGAGGATCCTGTTCATCCATCTGCCTTCTGAGCCTTTCTAAAAATACCATAATCCTCAACAAGGAGATATTTTAAGGGATTCATATTCACAAGTATATTCGTGGGAAGCTTATTTTGGCAGGCTTGCATGTGTTGGATTTGCATGCTTTGTGAACTTTTATTGCAAGACACTTGTACACAGGGTAAAGAGAGAGCTTTTGAACTATGGGATCCTTAAGTGAGAATTCTACTCTAAGTAAGCTTATGAATGTACCAGAAGTGAAGATGCATTTTCAGGAATGTTAATATGTGTCTGAAGTCATTCATTTCAGACATTTGCACACCAGCCCTTAGCTTATTGGATCTGATTTCATGTAACGTGGCTGTGATTTCTCTCCCGGGACCTTAATGATCTTGCTACTTTCAATAAACATTTATAGAAACTACTGCCAGCCTGTGGACAAGGGAAACTCAGATGAGAGACTTTATCTTCCAAAAATACTAAAAAGGCAAAACAGTCCTCACAAGAAGATTAATAGGAAGTGTCAAAATGTAGTATTAATTTGATAACTGGAATTGAATTACAGTACAGAAATACCTGTTTTATAGACATGCAGTAGAAATTTTGGTATTCCAACTTTCTGGGGAAAAGTACAAATATATGGTATACTTTACAAATGGGACCAACGAAACCATGAGTGTGAACAAACACAGACTTTGAGATGAGATGGAAGTGAAACAGGTAAATCCTGTCCCACACTCTCGCCATTCAGGTACAATCTTATGCAATACCCATGTTTGCACCTCTAAGAAATTTCCATTTTTTCGCATAAAAAAATCCAGATATGAAGCCGAAGCTGCCTTCTTCGCCAACCTGAAACTGTCTGATTTCAACATCATTGACACACTTGGAGTCGGAGGTTTCGGACGAGTTGAACTGGTAGGTAACCCTTCTTTGTTTTTAAACAACTTTGATGTCTATATAATGGTATTGTTCTGAGCCAAAAGCGGCTTTCTCCATCTTTTAGTTGTTTCTAATTATGGGAGTTGATTAACTGTAAATTAACTACATTACAGGATTCTATAATTTCCAGTAACTAAGGAAAGCTGCATTAAATTTGAGAGGGAATATGTATGACTGAACTGCAATTCCATTACTAAGGGCTACATTCATTATTTCTTTATCTTCCGGTGTCATCTTGTGTTTATACAGCAATACCTATTAATAGTGCTTACATTTATACCTACCTATAAATAATGCTTACATTTTATTTTTAAAAATGATGAACATACGAATGTTAACAATAAAATGTAAATCTAAAATCTTAATTACTGAAAATTTGAAAATTTGTTTTATTCCTGTTGTAAGACTTTTGCAATTCAGACGCAGAGACCCATAATGCCATTGATGAACAAGAAACTGGATTCTGTAGTTATTTAGTAATATGTGTTTTAATTGTAATAGAAATTCACAGATGAAATTTTTTTTGTTTCCAAAATTTGTAAGGAAGAAATATAAATGATCCAAATCTATACATTTATTTTTGTATGGATGGATTGTTTTCTTTTTATTACTAGGAAAGAATAATTAGGGGGGAAATTAAATGTTATCTGTTGAGTGATTCAGTTGTAAAATCAAGTAAATAAAGAGACTTAAATTAGTAACTGGGCATTAGTTTATATCACTATGCTGACCAGGGAGTCTTTGATATGTTAGGAACTCTGATAAGTTATGTATGGTGACGTAAAAAATGTTATTAATACTAGCCCCAAAATTAAAGAGAATCCTCATTCCATAAAAGTACAAGGAAAAATACTATTTTTACATTTTCATCTTACTGCTGAGATCTTGAAAATCAGTAAAAAGCAGTTAAACATATACCTATCAATCAGCCTTTTTATTACTGTACTACTTATGAAATATTGTAATAATAAGTCTGGAATGTTTGTGAAAGTTGCTACAAGCCAGTAGGTTCTATGTTAAAAAAATGTGACTCTCTGATTTACATCATTTAGTTGTGCTTCTGTTTATAGCTCATATATTATAAAGTCAGAGTACAGAATGTCAATGAGAACTTTGACTCTCCTGACTTCTGTTAGTTTAGCCATTGTCTCAAAATTTTGTAATATTGAATGGCATATGTTTCATTTGTTTGGTTTAATACTTTGAGGGAGTTTTACTTGGTTTGTTTTTATTTTGTTTTTGGACTTTTGTTTATATATTTAAATTTAACCAAATAATAGCCTTCGTGGATGTTTGAAATAGGTGTATCTTTTTCAGATCCTGTAAAGATTTCTGGACTAGGACATAACTTGAACTGTGTTATTCATAGCCAGTTATGATGTCTGCGCCACCAAATGGTTATAACATTAGTCAGAAGTCATACCATGTGGGCAGGACCTAAGTCAATACCTATTATAGTATGAAAAGCAGGACTAGATTGAAAAACAAAGGCAGATGCAGCAACATTGGTGCTATAACCTCAGTACCTATGGAATATAGGAAACCTATTACATAAAGCACCACAAAAAAGATATGAAAATTTGATATTAGAACTTTATAGAGTGATGATGAAATATTATCCAGTACAAAGGGCAAAAATGCTGTTCACCACTAAGCAGCTTGCTAAAGGCTTGCATGAAAGCTCAGTGTTCACAAGCCCTTGTGGGGACCCTCTTCAGAGAGGAATTTAACTTCAACATAAGATAAAGTTGTTACTGATTAAATTCCAAGTGCATTGCTGAAGTATACAAGAACATCTCTATTTTCTAGTCAACCTACCCTCCTTTCTTCATTCATTCACTGATTACACATTTCTGTGTTTGCAGCATCAAAATGATTGACACTATATTCTTACAGTTACATTCATTTTTCTTTCAGAAGGGTAGCCGTGTCAATAACTTTAAAAACAATGAGTTTTCTTGTGGCACCTTAGTCAGGACTTCACAAAAAGGCCTTCTTGTCCTGGCTGGTTTATTAAGAGAAAACATCTCTTTTCTAAAGTGCCTTGGTAATCCACAATAATTCAATAGGAAATACAGAAGACATATGTCAAAATGTAAAAGCTTTTGGCCTTCGTATGCTAAGGGACTTCTTTAGCCACAGCCGCAGATCTGATTTTGACAAAAATACACACACACACACACACACACACACACACACTATGGTCAGGGCACCTTTATATAAGCTTGTAAAAAGAGGTCGAGATGCCTAATTTTAGGTATCCAATTCCGAAAAAGCTGGCCTCATAAAAAAAGTGTTGCTAATAATTACATAGTCATAATATATTACCACCCAAGTGACCATAAGTGTTGATAGCTGATTATCCTTTTGCATATTGAATCACTGTATAATGATCAAAGATGTTATGATTAGTACTTTTGAAAAGATAGCTTATGATTTAATATCATTCTTCATCATGGTAGAACATATGTGATACAATTGTTTTTACTTAATTTAGTTTTTTGACTTTTTAAATACTTTTCAAAAGTTGTCATTGCTGTCCTATATAGAAGGACTGGCTATAAAAGGATGACTAATTCTCCTTCCAAGCATATCACATTATCTAGCATAGCCACCTTTTTTCAGAGAAATCTATCTTGTCTTTTAAAAAGGATGATATGACATTTTACAATATGAAGCTATAAAATGCTGATGCTATATGTACCAAGGAAATTAATTTCCATATTTTATTACATAAGTATTGTAAAAGTCTTATACAACCTTGTCATTGTGTAGCAGTGGTGAAATTTGTTGCTCAAAACTGTCATACTTGTGCTTCACCTACCATTTGGGTCCCTGTGCTAGAACCCAGAACAGAGCGTGGGCCCAGGCTCCCCCCAACCCTCCCTGCACCACTACACAGATTATCCTTTAAAGGAAAGTTTGGGACCAAAGAGGGGTTCACCCCAAACTTGTTTGACTGGCCTAAGATGAAGATGTGACCCTTGACTCTAGTAAAGGGCAAGAGGCTACATAGAGGGCCACAGCAAGCCTCTGAGGCAAATGCTATCTGCCTAGAAGTGAAGGACACTCCCCTCTGCCCCCCAAGCAAGGCTAGAGCCCTGCAACAGTACATACATTAAGAGCATGCTTAACTTTTTTGCTGAGATGGTATGAACTTAGACATTTGGTTAAAATTATGCTTGTGTTTTAGCATTTAGACAGCATAGTCATTTTTCATGCTAATATTCATTTTAATTGATAGATGACCATAGAATTATTGTTAGTGTGCTATTAAATTTGCTGTAGCCCCAGGCATTCTTGTAAATAATTCTTTTTATAGATTTCCAGAAGACCTACTCCATTAATTAGCTGGCTTGGGAAAATCTAATTTTACTCCAGCAGAATGGCAGGAGAGATTGTGACACTTATTTGGGTATATTTCCAACTTCACTGAACCTCTCTCTGTTTTTAAGCAGACTTCCTTCTTCTTTTTGAATCTGCAAAGAATAATGCAAGGTTTTAATAAAGCAAATGTTACGTGTAGTTGTGTGTGTGCAGACAAGGAAACTCCTAAGAGTGTTAACCTGGAAGGTGCTGAACCTCCTCCTTCAAAAGAATGGGAATTCTGAATGCTGTAATGGCAAGGAAGATGATGCTCTGTGAAGGAACTTGGAGACTGGAAACCTGAGTGAGACCTCCCCATAAAATTGGCAAGGAAAGTCAATCCAAGCTGAAGCTGAAAAAAATGTTTACAAAGCCCTTATATTCATTCATTCTGTCTGTCTGTCTCTCTCACACACATATACACACCATACACAGACTGGATGATTATTTTTGAAGACTTAGAGTGACACTCCCAGCCCCACTCCTAGGGAGCTCCCAGCCACTCTGTGCTGCTGACTCCATATCAGAGGCGACTGCGCAGGGTAGCAGACAGAGCCAGTCCACGAGGAGAGCCAGTTTAAAAACCAGCTCTCCATGCAGATTGGTTACCTGCCACCCTGTACTGTTGCCTCTGATACAGAGTCAGCAGCACAGGGTGGCAACATCCACTGTCCATGGGGGGGGCCAATCTCCGCACAAACAGAGCAGCTTCTGTTCTCAGGGGGTTCAGACTCCCTGTGGACAGGAGCTGTGCCCTAAAGCAACCTCTGTCCATGGGATGTAGAGCAGCCTCTGTCCATAGGGAGCTCAGACCCATCATGGAGACAGGCTGCTTCGTGGCAGCATCCACCTGCTCCTTCCCCCCACAACTGCTGCCTCTGCAGCAGTGTGGTTGGGTTAGGGGGGCACCATGGAGCTGGTTCTGGGGGAAAATGGCTTTTAAGCCAGATCCCCCCAGCACTTGCTCTAGCTTGTCTCCCCTCCGCCCCCTGCTGCCTCTGTCGAAGGCAGCGGGGCAGGGGGCAGGTGGGTCTGCAGAGCTGATATACACGGGGAGTTGGCTTGAAAGCTGGCTCCCCACAGGTATTTGCTCCAGCCTAACCCCCTCACTTTCCATGCTGCTGCCTCTATCAGAGGCAGTAGTGCAGGGGGGAAGGTGGATCTGATGCTCATGGAGAGCCAGCTTTTAAGCTAACTTCTCATGGGCACCAGCTCCAGTTCCCCCTCTGATACTGAGGCAGCAAGGTTAGGGGAATGTGTGTAGTTGACAAGAGTAACTGAAAACAATCTATTTGGGAGTAATAAGCCTAAAAAATATAAATGAGTGGAATTGTGATCCCATGAACATCAATGGCCCAACTCCAAGTGACCTCAAAGAAGCCACCAAGTACTAAAACTTGTCCTGACAATAGTGTGTAGCATGAGAATTTGTTTTAAATCTTGATTTCTTAATTACAATGGGAAACTAAAATGAGCATATTAGAGTTTGTGAAATGAATATTATTTTCAAGAAATACAGTAATTGTTATTTTTATTTTGCTTTCTGTATTACTTAAATTATTCCTATTCGGGTACTTAATTTTTACAAAGATGATTTTTATGTTTGGAAT